CCCCCTTTTGGCTGAACGCGGGCGTTCACCAGCTGGGCCGAAACGCTTCACACCAGACTCATCCTTCAGTTGGCAGTGCGTACAGCCGACTCGCTGCTCACAATGAACGTGATCCACGAGCTGATGAGCAGCTCTTCCATTGTTTTGCAAAACATTGTAGTCCTCTGCTCCGCTAGCGATGGCCAATCTCTTCGCGACAGGTAAAATTTTTCCCAGCGTCTCGTCTGGAAGATCATGAAGTTTGGCGCCGTGGTACTTTGGAATGACCAACGTGTGACCTCGAGAGATTGGACCAATGTCTTGAGACGTGGATGGATGGAAAGAGCGTATGATTAGCGGCGAGAAAGCAGATAGGTACGAAGAGGAGTTGGAGCGTCCTTGCACATACCCAGGAAAGCCAGTGTCTGATCATCCTCGTACAGCTTCATGCTCGGGATCTGCCCAGCAATAATCTTGCAAAAGATGCTGTCGGGTGCGCAGGGATTCGAAGAGGAGCAGCAAAGCGCCGCGCTCAGCATTGATGAAGCCCCACACGGAAGGCGAGCATCATGCGCTGCTCAATGAGCCTCGTCCGGCCGACTATGGAGCATGAACGTACCAGTTAGCGTCGGTCGCCATCTTGCTGGCCGACCGAAATAACGTGGCTGAGAAAGCGATGATGGGCTAGAAGAGATGGAGGTGCGCGCAGATTCTAGTTGAATAGATTGAGGTGCCCAGAGATGTACGATCGGCACGGATGATGCACGGGATTGTTGTTGGTGGTGGTGATGGGAAGCGAGAGGCTCTGTCCGCCATACGAACATCGCTTGAATGCACTGCGCACGGACATGGCGGGAGGTACATCATGCAGGCAACGCACCGGCTGTTTGCCGTGTCGTGTGCCACTCACGTCTATTCGAGATTTGGCTCGAGGCGGGGCCGAGCAGTGCAGATGGCCGAATCGTGAATGCTGGTGATGTGGAGTCAGTCGAGTGACGAGTCAAGGAGTACGAGTTCGAGAACATTGCGTTTCAATGGCCACCGATACGACTTCTCGCTAAACATGTCACAAATACGAGCAACCTTGGCACCATAGCTTCGCTCGCCTCTTGCATCAGAGCCTCGAAGCGAGATGTTCCCTTTGAGTGAAGGGTAAAATTCCCACAAAGCACCACGCGGCGCGTCTTGATGACAAGATCAATCAGTTGCAGCCTAGCTTGAATAAGGGCCCTTTCATGGGATTCGAGCTGTGAAGCGGCTGCAAGCCACACTACTGCCTTGAATCTGAATGAGCGACGACATTCCCTCGACTCGGCTGCTGTAGCCCATTGTTACAATCCGGAACGAGCTTTGATGAACAACAAACTTCACGTCCATCTTTCCCACCGCAACTGAGACCGCCCCGTATGTGCCCCTTTACGATGAGAGCAGTGCAGCTCTTGCTATTGGCTTTCCGTGAAACCGCCAAGACAGCTCTCCGTGCTACCGCTTAAGCCTTTTCAGTCCTTGATACGAGACACCTGCAAAGCAAAGAGGTGATGCGCATTCCGAGTAGTACCTGTTATGCTGTGCGTTTGATCATGTTTACAGAACACCAACAGCAAGGGTCCCCTCATCTAGTGATGGGTAGGTTTTGAGCCCTGCGTATCGGGAAACAGATGAGGAAATCAGCGTCATTGAAGGGCTCGATCTAATGGATGATGGGTAATCAGCATCTTTGCACGGACTCACATCCACCCTCATATTTCGTGTCGCCGAAGGCAATTGAGCGACCATGCCATCCAGCTCCTTCGTCACCTTGACTTGACATCCAAGCCTTGATCTGTATAGATATGCGCAGCGTATGAGCGTGCGAGGTTTGAGATGCGCGGCTGGTGAACGTGTGCGCACTCACGTATCTGTCAACCCAAATGCCAAGTCCAACATGTCGTTCTCATCGTCTCCGGGCTCTTCCAACTTGTCGTACATGTCTGGTTCCATAATAACGTGACAGGTAGAGCAAGCTATTGATCCTTCGCACGCTCCTGTATGCCGATATTGCGTGGGCCACAACGTCAGTGATTCAATGCTCTCGACAATCCTCCGACCAGGTTACAACTCACCTTCGAGATCGATGTCGTACTCGTGAGCCACCGCCAAGAGGTCGTCCCCTTCATTGACTTCGACCGTACGGATGTCTGTGCCTTTTGAATCCCTAAAAGTGACCTTGATGCCTGTGCCAGGTTCCGGTCTCTCTATACCTCCGTGCCTCGTAATCGCAGAAGTGCCAAATGATTTCCGGAGCAGCCGGTCATCTTTCGCGCTACGAGACGCCTTTGTATGCGTGCGGTTCGCGGCATTGGAACTGGTGTAGCTTCGAAGGGATGCGCTAGAGAAGATCAACGTGCTGTTCGAACAGTACGCGGAGCCTTGCTTGGCACTTTCTCTCAAGATCTGGCGAGTGGGAAGAGCAAAAGTTCGATGGCAAGAGCATGCTTGACCTATGGCGCTCCTTAGAGCTCGTCGAGACATTGTAGCGCGATTAGGTTGACCTTGACGCTGCTGGAGCTTACACCGAAATTGCTAGTGCGAGATGATATGAAGATCACGGCTATCGATGGCGGCTGGGCGGGTGCAAGGATGCAAAATGAATGATTAGCATGCCAAGCGGCTGATTGGTTGGAGTCGAATTTGATTTCACGATTCTGCGTTTGTAGCTGATGATCGCTTAATTCTTCATTTTGAATCTTGAATTGCAGCCAGCCACACGTGCCGGATGCCGGGACTGCACGCTCATCATGACTCACGACGCGTGACTCGTGACTGCTGCTGGTGCTTTTGAGATTTGAGATTCTTGATTCAAGATTTGCTGAGATTCATCAATTTTGACAGACACGCCAACATATATGCGTGGATGTACCCGTACGAGAGGCGCGTCAAATTGACCCCGCAAGAATTTTTGGGAGTCAAGTTCACCATGTCATCAGCTGCGGATTGAGAACACGGCGCTTCATTGGCATGGTCTGCCTCTTTCGGATCGAGTGTGCTGCGAAATAAGCACTGGTTGCAACCCCCTTCTCTCGCTTTACATCTCTTACTTTGACAATTGTCGACAAGGCGAGGTCCGCCCATCTGCAGGCACCATCTTTGGCCCAAAAACAAGCCGAGATGGAATACCAACCTGTTCGCCGAGCGGGCACAGCGCGCACGAGGCCAACACAGGTCAAGCATTCAGATTCGGCCTACTACAAACGATTCACGCGCACCTCGTTCGTTCGCGAGTATGCACCCGTCACTTCCATCTCCTTCGTTCCCATCTCTGCATTCTCCTCCTCCTCCACAGCCGATGACGCGCAGGCGGAAACTTCGAGTAGCGGTAGCAGCAAGGCACCACTGAAGTCCAGCGAGAGGAGCAAATTTTTGGTCACTGCTGGTTCTAGAGTGCAGATCTACGCATCGAGCGGGAAGTTGCAACGGACTGTTGGCAGATTCTCGGATGTCGCTAGAGGGGCTACGTGGAGAGCGGACGGAAGACTGTTTGTAGCTGGGGATGATAGCGGGACGGTGCAGGTGAGCGCCCTGCAACACTGTGCACTCACTCTGCAGCGCACTGCTCGTAAGCGGAGCAGTAGCTCACAGGCACGCATTTGTGCCCCTTCAATCCACAACAGGTCTTCGATGCGAATTCGCGATCCATCCTCAGGACACTGAAAGGTCACAAGCATCCTGTGCACGTGTCAAAGTTCTCTTCAGACTCGGGCACGATTCTAACAGGATCGGATGATCGGACGCTCAAGCTTTGGGATGTGGCCACTCAATCCTGCACGCGCACCTTGAGAGGCCATTCGGACTACGTTCGTACCGCAGTGGTCAGTCCTGACAACCCCGCATTGGTGCTGAGTGGAGGCTATGATGGAAGCATTCGTCTTTGGGATACGAGACTCGGCAGGAGAAGGCCCCCAACTACGGATGGCGATACGATGGACTCGGACCTGCACGGCGATGCGTCGGAAGGAAGCGACGCGTGTGTCATGACGATGAAGCATGGCGCACCAGTGGAATCCACTCTCATCTACCCCACCGGAGGAGGAGGCATTGCGCTCTCAGCAGGTGGACCCTCTCTTCGGGTCTGGGATCTCATGATGGGTGGTAGATGCCTCAGAGCTGTCTCCAATCACAGCAAGACGATCACTTCCTTGGCTTTGTCAACCGGCAGCGATGCTGATTTCCGATCATCATTGCAGGATACGGATACTGCGCACGAACTTGGCGCTTCAAGCGGCAGTCCGCAGTCCCTAAGGCTGCTCTCTGCAGGACTGGATGGACTCGTGAAGGTGTACGATCCAGCAAGGGATTATGCCGTCACGCATACGATGCGGTATCCTTCTCCCCTACTAAGTCTAGCTGTCTCCGCCGACGACACGGTCTTTGCGACAGGTGCGGCCGATGGCACCCTATGCGTCCGCAGTCGTATCCTCAAGAAGGGTGAAGCAATGGCCAGAACTGCGCACCACCAGCAGGCCGCGCAGGGAACCCACAAAGTGTTCATGGATGCGCTGTCCTCCGCCGGCGCTCAGACCGCTAGCGCAATGGATGTCGCTGCGACAGTGCGGACAAAGAAGCTGAAAGTCTACGATGACATGCTGAAACAGTTCAGATACGCGGATGCTCTGGATGCTGCTTTGAAGGCCAATGTTCCGCCAGAAGTCACGCTTGGAGTATTGGCGGAGCTTAGACGCCGATCTAGTGCCGACGGAACAGAGGATGGACTCAGAAGAGGGCTGTGTGGAAGAGACGAGGAGGGGCTTATCAAGGTGTTGAAGTTCTGCTTGAGACATGCGGGCAACCCCGAGCACGTCAACATCATTTCGGACACTCTCGACCGAGTCATTGGTCAGTGCCATTGTCCCAGCGTTGCTTTCGTGCGCTACCAAGTGGAGCTAAAGGAACAGATATCTCTTTTTTTGCAGACATCTACGCTCCTATCCTTGGTCAGTCGCCTCAGATTGACGACCTCTTCGGTCGACTATGGTCGAAAATTTCCGACGAAGTGCGCGTTCAGAGAGATGTTGCCAAAGTCAGAGGCGCCCTCGACATGATTGTCGCCCGGTCCACACTTGGCTCGGCCGTCACCGCTTGATTAGGACAAGAATACATACATGCACGCACCGTCTCAGCAAGTCACATGCTCAAGTGTGCGCCCTAAGGGAAGGTCTCTCAAGGCCGTCATTGGGGAAGCCGCGCTGCATGGCTTGACACGGAAAAGCCTGAGAAATCAGGTAAGCAGATGATCTTCAACGTGCCGATGACAAGTCTGGGACAGAGGCCGTTGGTCGTTCGCCGTGCTCGACATGGATTGGAAGGCAGGCCAAGCGGCTCTAACGAAAGTAACGCGCTCGCTCACACGGGCTCGCGCACCCACCGCATGGGCCTTTCTTCAACGGGGACCAGTCACGCAGTACGATGGCTTTTCATTGATCGGGGACACAATTTCCGGCCAACACTTAGGCTCAAAGCGCCTCGTCGTCTGACGACATCCTTTCCTTTCGGCTACACGCAGGAGTCAGGTTCAGGGACCTCGTACGCAGGGGCCACAGGAACTTATAAAGATACGAAATGAAGATCGACCTGCCAGATGTAGATCCGTAGATCCAGGCGCAGGTCAACGGACACGGGACCTGCACGTGCACGTGCATGCGCGCACGCGCACGCGCCTGCCTGCTTGCTCACTGGTGAAGAGTCCGGTGAAGAGTGGAGGTGACTTCTCCGCCCCTCTCTTTTCCTTTCTCGACGCTGAACTCGCCCCTCGCCAGGAGCTTTGCTAACCCACGAATCGGTCATTTCCGTCAACGAACAGAATTTGATGAGGCGTCAACAACCCCACGTTGGCCGTCGGCTTGCGCATCACTTAGGCACGCACGATGCGTGGTTGCGCCAGCAACAGCACGGTGTCACCGTTTGCCTGCCTCAACGGTCGCTGGCGGTGCATGAGGATCTACTCGGATGTCTCACAATGTTGGTGTGGGATCGCGTTGCGCATCAGCGAAACGATTTGCGCACCATTGATAGACTGTCTCGGACTAGGCACCAACAAGCCTTCTGACCACGATCTAGCTCTGCGGACTTCCCACCTTTGCTTTCGCAATAGCCTAATCCTACCCCACGCCTCTCCACCTTGTGTGCTCGCCCTCCTTCCTCACCTTACCCTGCTCTGCTCTCATCAACAGTATCACCTCGACCTCGCCGCCTTCGACTTCCACAGTTGCTGACCAGTCAGTCTCGTGGAGTCGCAATGCCGCTGGTACCTTCCACCACGCACGACGGACTCGACAGCCTTATGGCCGACATCGACAACACTCTGTTGGACCTGATGAAGAGCGCTCCGACTCCTCCACTTCGCTCACCAGTCTTCGAGCCGATGGATGCTTGCGAAGCCGACTGTCGTCTTTGCCCAAACCAAAATTCCACCCTGTTCGTCGCTCAAGCAACCGAATCAGCTTGGCAACCTTCCGAGGACACAGCCAGCCTGGGCTACCGCCATTTTGTTGGACCAGAGCCAGTGCACTTGCAAGGCGAGATGAAATCAGCCAACTTCTCCCGTCCACGCCCCATCGGCGCCAGCGCCCCTCGAGTGAGCGACTGCAGCCCTTCGTCGCCTTCGAAGTCGTGGCACTGGAGCTTGGTAGCCGGGTCCGAGCAGCAGGAAGTTCCCAAGCCAGATGTTGGTCGCCGCTCCTCTTTCGTGCCAAAGCCACTGAACCTGGTGACTCTCGCATCCAAGCGTTCGTCCCAAGTGACACCTGGAAATAGTGTGCCAGCTTCGGCTCGTGCATCCAGGGCTCAAATTCAGCGTGGCAGTATCGGGTACCGATTCTCGACCCTCAGCACTACTTGTCGTCAACTTCCCACCCCCGTCGACACAAGCGCGCCTGTCATCATTGGTCTTGGCTTGGACCTCGGAGAATCTTCGAGCCGCGCACCATATGACCACGAGTTCAAGACGGTCGCCCCCTTATTCGTGCGTCGTGATCAAGAGAAGCTGCAGGCGAAGATGCAAGAGCCAGTAAGTGCACCTGGCCTATTCTAGCCTGAGCGACGAGAGCAAGGTGCTGATCCTTCTAGTTTCGTTTCAGGCTGTCAGCCGTGCGGAGCTTTACCGTCGTAGGAGAGAGGGCATCAAGGTGGTTGCAAGGGATGAGTGTGTGAGTATGAGACATCAGGCGGGGAACTCCTCAACCTGGCGTTCGAGCACAGCGACGGCCTCTGACTTTCTTCGCAACCTCGACACGACAGGTCACGACGCTTGCCCCCCTGCCAGTACCCCACAAGAGTGACCAAGCTTCGCTTAGCATGCCAACAAAGCCGCTAGGCTTCGTGCAGGGCCGTGCAGCTGGTCCCTCTTCATTTCTCAGAAACCCTTCTCCAAACTGGCCAGAGTCGCCTTATTCCGAGCCGATATCCACTCCCTTGCAATCCGTCCGAAGTTGCTCCACCGGTGCGACCTCACTTGAAGCGATTCCTGAAGTCAGCATTGGCACCGCGCTGGGCAAATACGATGACGAACGACGCTCCCCTTCACCAGTGGAACTTGCTTCGCCCGCTTCCATCAGCCCAATGGTTCAAGCCGCTTCTGAACCTGCGCCGATCGCTCTCACGAGAGCTTCTAACGGAGAAGATCAATCTCGCTCCTCAAGCAGGGCAGGAAGCTCGAAATGTGTGCATCCCGCGAGCATGAGGTGCCTTGCTGGGTGTGATCCTATCAACAATCCTCCCTCGCCCCTCCTCATCGATGTCACTCCAGCACCGGTCATTGCAGAGCCGAAGTTGCGTGCGAAGCTCGGCGGCATCCTCAAATTTGCAAAATCGCGCGCAAGCAATCCGTCGTCCTCAATGGACGAGTCGCAAAAAGGCGCACCTCACAGCCTCAGTGGGTCAAATCGTCTAGTGCCCAACATGGGATCATCATACGACGAGGTAACGCACCGCAAGATCAAGATGTCGGACGACGCTCGGGCATCGAAAGCTTCTTGGGCCACCAAGTTTAAGCGAGCGACGCGATCCCTCATGAGTTTTGGTCGCGCACACGACCTCTCGCGCTCGATCGAAGAGCCACAAGCTACGTCGCTCGACTCCAACTTTAGCGGCATCTCTGTCGCTGCTAAGCGTGCGGGATGGGTTATTTCGCGCCCCCCTGCGACTATGACAGCAGCAAAATTTCAAGAGCCACCGATGACTGTTTCGACGATGGCAGAGCCAGCCGGTCCTACCGCGCCGACCTCGCCAGATGTTGATGACTGCAGCACGTCTGGACGTGACGCCTCTTCGTTTCCTGCGACTACTATAGCACCAGGATCCCAAGAGCCACCAATGGCTGGTTTGACGACGACCCGAGACGAGCACACCGTAATTGGCAGCTTAGCGCCGACGGAGTCCGTCCTCGT